AAGCAAACCTCGCCTCAACAAGCCAAATGATTTGAAGTATTCATGTCCTTGTCAAGCAGTATAAGTTATGTGTTTAAGTATTATACTTAAGGCCAAAGTATACTTCAGTTTTTACATGTATGCAAGGTCGCACGTGCGCATCGACTTGGTTTTGCAGTAATCAGTTTTTCCACAAGGTGGCAACACTGGCCCGGGCTGTTGTTTCACAGTAGAAAACGAAACCAAAGAGACAGGACTACAACAAAACAGCAGAAACTGTAACAACAACAGACGGTTGCATTGACAAGCGCTTGTGTAAGAGGGTTATGAGACAGCAGCAACTTTAGTTTAATAGAATACAAATACATTTTTATTGCTCATGACTTTCTAGAGCACATGTGTCGACCGCCTGCATTTGCCTACACCTCAAATGGACTATACTTTGAAAGGCTACGCATACAAATGTGCAAAAAAAAAAAAAGAAGTATACTTGGACCCTTAAAGTTAGGGGTCTTTAAAAATCTCCAACCCTATCAGCCTAAAACACAAACACTAAATGTGTTGGGTGCTATAGAGCACTGCAATGATAATCTTCACAGGTGAACACAAGTTTTATGAATATTGAAGCCTAAAAACAATTGGCAGAAGTAAAAAGCTAAATGTACGCTATAAATGAACTACACCATGGTCACATAGCTTCAACGTTACCATCAAAAATAACAACTATTAACACAATGAGGCTGTGAAAGCGACTAGTGAGTAGATGAGTTTACCTGTTTGGCGTGATGATGTTTAATGTCCTTGACCTTCAGGACGATGGCACCAGTGCTAAAACGCAAAACCGTTTGTGGGTTTTGGCCTACAACAATACATCACCCCTGCAGTACTCTATTACATACACAGATCATTACAAGATAATCAATCTGAGACATGTGCATGTCAGTGGAAATTACAGTTCATGGCCTGTAAATGTTGCTTCAGCAGCTGACGAGTCAGTCTCCACATCCTGTCCAGTGAACTACACACAGCTACAACATTAAAAGACCCTTCAGTGGCCTGCTGCTACCCACCAGTGTGGAGGAAGGGCTCTTAATACTCCACAATTGGGATAACGAGTGGCTAACAAGTCAATGTTTAGCTAGTGTGGGCTACATCTGTGCAGATAGATTCCCTCTTCAACCCTAAACAATCTGTGCGACCATTCAGCTCTGCATCGCTGTCTGTTTGGACCGTAATACGTAAATGTGGCCCAAACATTCATGCATCTGCTGCACAGCTGATGCTCTCTCTTGTCCTCTCTTCAGCATTCCTCCTGTACAGTATCTGTTTATCTCCGTCTTTTCGAATGAGGGCTTTGGCTCTGTTTCTCAAGTGCAGGCTCAAGAGGCGAGATCAAAGCCACAGTGGGTGTGCTGCAGGGATGAAAGGCTTTGTTCTCACCAGTGAAAGAGACGAGAAGGCTTGGCCAGTGGAATCACCGCCATGTCGCATTTTGTTATGAAGCATGCTGCCAATATTCTGATGTGCACTGAGATGTGATTATATGGACTGGTGTGCATTTAAAGGGAAGAAATCTTCTCATCTTCTGAAAAAAGCACATATTGTCCAGTACTTTGGGACAGTATTTTCATGGTCTTGGTCTTGTCCAGTCACTACAGATACATTTTATGGTCTGTGCTGACTGGTGTATATGATTGGTTCTGAATCGTCCTCTTTTTGACTCAGACACGACCTACTCAGAATGAGTTTGTCTCAGCTACAACGCTGTTAACAAGTGCTGGTTGGAGTGCCACAACACTGAGCATCGCTGAGCTGCCTGTCAAATACTGTGTGCCTTTTGAGGAGTCTCTTGTTAGTCTGGTCATGTGGTCGCCGTGATTTTGCCAAGTAAGACATGTTCCTGGATCAACATCTTTTGATGATCCTGAATCAACATTATTTTCCAAAAATATAGACTTAACCCAATCCCTACCCCTAAACCTAACCCTACCCATAATTTATTCCTAAAATCAGTGGGAAATGATAGCTGATTAACAAGGGTGTAGAAGCACCTAATCCTGATTGTAAGCCTAAAACAGATATTTCCTGAAAAGTTATCTCTCAATTCTGATTGGTTGATTGGAATGATGTTCCAGGATCAACAAGGATGTTGATCCAGGAACATGTTGTACTTGGTGAAATCACGCTCACCATGGTCATGTGGTGTGTTCAAGTCCTTCTGGCAAGGTCTTATTTACGAGAATTTACAAAATCTCTATGGTCGGAGCAATGCAATACCAAAAATTAAGCAAGATCAACTCTACTTCTTCAAAATAATGAATAAAGAAAGTGCACTGGGAGTGTCTTTGCTTTTTTATGCTTTTATTTAGTTTATGAAGGTGCTGCAAATTCAGTCATTATATGTTCTATCATAATTGTACGATACTATCAAATTTTGTAATGTGACAGCTAGTTTTATTGTAAATGAAAAATGAATAATTTCCTATATATAATAATTTCAGCAAATTTACCATCAAAACAGATGCTGCGTTTATTGTGTTCTGCATATTTTCTCGTTCACACTTTTTGTAAGCTTTATATTCATCTGACTTGTAAATATGTTTTTTTTTTCCAACATGACTTGAACACATGCACCAATAGTGTCATGCAGCCAGTTTGTAAAGTTTGGTCCATTTTTGCAGCTTATTAAGGCCAAGAAATGCCCACTTTGACAGGAAGAGACTGTTTGACATGTAAACTGACAAACCTGACTTTGTTTTGCTTTTCTTTTTAGAAGGCATTGAGGGGCTGGATTATCAAAAATGCAAGAATAAAAAAATACAAAATAATTACACAGCAGAATTTCTGCTTGTATATATAGTTTTATCGCCGCTAAATGCAAAATAAAACTCTGAGTATCTTTTAAAGATTTACATTTTGCTTTATTCAAAGCACTTCACTGTGTATTCAAGGCATAGATTTATCAGTATATGTGTTCCTTGTCAAACATGACCTTGGCATTGCAAGCCATGCTGTACACTGTAAAAGTACAAATGTGCAGTTTGTCTTTTAAAAACAGCTTTTGTTGGTGTAACTTCATTAGGTTGATTCAGTCGCACTGAATAATACTTTTGACTTCAACAGAACCAGTGTATTTAGATGTTTCCACATGAATACATGTTAGGTTATGTAATAAAACATTTTTTACACCAGCTGAGTCCTAGAAGTTAATTAATGGCGATTTGAAATGTGTGTACTTCTAGCACAACAAAAGATTATTAAAACATGATGATTTATTGTACTTTACAGTCTTTTTTTTACATTACTAAAAAGTGCACATTTTAAAAGTATGTTTTCCTTAAATGTGTTAAAAAAGTGTACTTGTGAAAGTGGTGTTTTATTTAAGTAATATCACATTTTCTACGAGTACATTTTTAATTTTAAGATTTGAAGTGCACTACAAGTGCACAATAAGACAGTAATGTTAAGTTCAGTGTAACACATTACAAATAGTGCGAATTACGTAATCAGATTACTTACAGAGTAAGAAGCAAAGCAATGCATTACCTTCAAATTTACAAGAAAACATCTGAGTTACTTTTTCAAATAAGTTTCTTTGTTTTCCCATTTATTGACTGCCAGCTCTCCTGTCCCGTGTTGAGAGGAATTAGGAGTGATGTGCAGAGACAGAGGCACTTCATTCAGACTGAGGCTTATTCATTTCACCTTTGGTGTGAAAGGGTCTTTTACAGTTGCCAAAAATATAACTTTTGGGTTTTTTTTGTTATTAGAAATAAATAAGCAAACCCAGCTCAGGTGGCAAAAGTAATGCAATGCAATGCAATACAATTAGTTGATTTTTTTTTTAAATGGAGTAACACGGTTTTATAACCCATTACTTTAACCAACAGTGGTTTAGTTGCATCAACTTCGCATAATAAACCACAAGCAACAAGCAGCCCTCAAACAAACATACCCATATTAGTTACATGAGGATATAAATAAGGTTTTGACTAGTATAGCTAGACGCTGATTATACCGCAGTATCCAGTCCACTAACATGCCACATCATTTGGGAAAGTGTGCATCAGTTAAGTAAGCAACTATGTAAACATGTATTAAGCCGTTGATATGTTACTGGGCTGGTGTGATCAGCGACAAATGCAAGGATAAATGTTCACCACCTGTCTGTGTCCAAACAGAGAGCTTTTAACACATTTCAATCACTAATCCCACATTAGCCTTCCAGGGTGAGTAGTTTCCACATGCAAAAGAAAGTGATGCAGAAGTACGTTTAGAAATAATAAATGTTGATTATCACATAAACATAAGCGAGTAAATATTTATTGCGGCAGATACAAACCCATTTTCACCACTACAGAACTAGTCAGAAGCAAAAACTGCTTTCTCATGTACTCTCACTAAAATTAGTATTTTGGCCCTCAGCGACTGTACGATTGGAAAGGCTCTAATGAAGCCATTACAAACACTTTGCTACAACTTGAAGTAATGAAGGCTCGTCCTCCATTCAGTCATCCTTCCAGCAGCAGGATGAATCACAATCTAGCACATATTACTCAATGCAACTAAAGGTCAGTAAAAGAAACGATTCACAGCTGTAATTAGTAACGTGTGCTGCTGGGCAAATGCAGAGGACACTGAAGGTAAAAAGACTGGGCAAACACGTCGCTTTTAATATCAGGCTTTAACTAAATACTAAAACTAGCTCATCATGCTGGACTTTTCAGGATGTGCATCCATCAGTCATGGGGAAGCCCGGCTCGTCACAGCAGCATCAGCACCAGCACCGAGCACAGGATGAACAGAACACAGTCTACATGCCACTGAGGCATTTCATCAACAACATCAGCAGCAGCCAGTGGGCAATGCTGGAGTAAAGACATGCAGTCATGCCAATATTAGTGTTGTGTTTCTCGATAAACGGCAGCTGCTCCTATGTGTAGTAACTATCCCTCCGCCATGGTCAAATCAGATGTCCGCGCAGTAAAGAGATATGGGTTTTCTGCATGTAGATCACTCACCTGTGCTGTTCGTATAAACGACATGCGTGTCGGTAAGGATGCTCGGGTCACTTTGAGATCTTCCTCTCTGCACAACGCAATCTTCTGATCCATCTGATGTGGCCATGGAGATGAGAACAGATGATAATGTAGGAAAAGCCGATCTGTGTGTGGGAATATGAGCAGCGAGCGTGCTGCGGCGATGGACGTGATTCAGTTTGACAGCATCAGCATCAGCATCAGCAGCGCTGGAGGAGGAGAGCAGTGCGCGCGCGTGCGTGTGCTGATGGAGAGCCCAGGGACTGGAGGCGCATCTGGGTAGATTTTTTTTTTAAACATTATGAAACACATAATTGGTTATTATGGCATCCTTCGTGAGTTTTACAGGTGAAAGTGTAGTCATAATTGTCTATTGTCATGCAATCGTTGTTATTTGAAACGCATTCAAGAGAAGCGTGTTACAGTGATTTCTCAGAGGAACTACAGAATCATTAGCCTGTGACGCCCTCCTGTGGGCTCTTTATGACGTCTGATGATGATGAGAGGTGAAATAAAGTAAGAACAGTCTGATAGAATCGATCAGATCGGAATGATCCAAAGCAGTTTTTACATCAACAGTTCCCACCTAAACACAACACACAAGGCAAAATGTTGTGGGTTTTCACATAGGAGAGAGAGATATTCTTGTGATATTTAGGGTAAAACATACATTTCAGATTACTGAACATTCAAAACCAGTTTTAATATTAATATATATATATATATATATATATATATATATTGGTTATCTCGCTATAGAATTTACGATGTTTTTTTTTTGTTTTCTGATATCATAACTGTAT